CGAATTTGTTTGGAGCTTTGACTACTGTTTTTTTTTTTTTAAATCATATTATTTTCAAGCTAAGATTGAAGAAAAAAGAAAAGTAGAGCAAACGAAAATCATTAGTTGATTTGAGGGAGCTTTAAACAATAGAAACAGTTTCCTTTCTGCAAAAGGCGGGATTCTGACAGCAAGCTCTCCATCTTCCATTCATTCCCCTTTGCTGTTAGGAGATAATAGGGAACCTGTTATATTGAGGATGTAAATGCATTAAAACATTGTCACCCAACGTGTACCAGCATTTTCTTTAGAAAAACAAAGCCTAAAGGGGCAAACAGGCCTCTAACTCCTTCATAGCTGTCAGAATGCTTTTGCATGTAATGTTTTTTCCGATTCTTCGAGATAAAATCCTGCCGTGATCCCGTCTCACTGTTATGACCGTAAACAGATTAAACATCTAAACCTCTCCTTGGCAAATGAGGCCCTCAGTTTAAACCATGAAATTGATTCTGGCCACAGTGGAGATTATTGATCCCGTTTTGTTATAAAAGTCAGCAAAAGCTGGATGACCGTACAGTCGTTTAAATATACAAAAACGCTTTTATAACTATGCAGCGGGAAAAGTAAACATGCACAACTTTGCATCACTTTGGTTTCAGCGACTTCAATATGGTCAATTTCCCCCTGAAATGAAGTTATCGCTGCTCAGCAAAGAGTCGCTCCTGCCAAACTGCTGTCAGTTTCCATCACGGTTCTGGCAAGAATGGAGGCAGGTGCCAGGGAGGGGAGAACCCCAGCTCAGGCTAAAACCAATCCACCGGCACCGTAAGAGGCTTTCAGCGAAGAACAGTGCAGGTGCCACTCAGCAGAGCTTCAATTTAACTCCCCCATATTTGAACAATCCTCTGTGGTTAAAATGGAAATATGAAAATAGCAATGTCCATTAAATACTGGAGAAACCGGAGCACGCTGGTAATACCAGTCCAACCATTTGTAAACTTGCTCTCTAATGCCGTACATGATATTTATTTGTTGGGTAAGGGTCAGAATATTAACAGTAACAAAGAAAGAACACTCCTGGATTCCCTACATTTTAAAGGAGTCATCACCCAGAAACCTGACTTCTTCTTGTTAAAATGAGTGCTGATGTTGGGCTTCAACTGAAACCTTCCATAAGATCTAAAGGGGCCAAGGGGCCCTCAAGGACCACATGGGGTGCCCTCAACGCCTTCTGAAAACAGCAACTCAGCAGTTGCTAAGTTTGAAATTTTATTTTATTCTGTGACTCTTCTTTTTAATCATTTATAGAGCATTTCATCATAGTAATCATATAGGGCATTTTAGCATTTATAGAGATTTTAAATGGTAAATGGCATGTACTTATATAGCGCCTTTATTCAAGCCAGGAGACTTGCCCAAAGCGTTTCACACTATATTCATTCACCCATTCACACACTGATGGTGGCAAGCTACATTGTAGCCAATGCTGCTGTACACTGGCGCCACCAGTCCCTCTGACCACCATCAGTAGACATTGCAGGTGAAGTGTCTTGCCCAAGGACACAACGACACTGAAAGTCGGAGTCGAGGCTTGAACCGTCAACCCTTCGAATTCAGGGCAAACTCCAACATCCAACGGCACTGTCGCCCTACTAAAAATTATAATGTTTAAAGGAAAATTAGAAATTAAAAGTTAACAATAAAAATGTGTTTAATTTGGATGAAGTTTAGGTGAACGTTGACCCCTCTCGTTCATAGGTCAGTATTGGTAGCCCTTCCTATGATTCAGTAGCCATGAAGTAGCCCTCAGCCTTGAAATGGTTGGTGACCCCTGATCTAAAGTGTCAGAGCGGCTTGTTTTATTAATTTGGGTTCATGGTGCAAACCAGAAAACGCAGACATGAGCCACTCTCCACCAGTGGTGGAGCAGACAGTTTCCATAAGGGGTGGCCAATGTAGGGTGGTCATAACGGATAGGCGCCCTAATAGGACAATAAACGACCACAGCATCCAGATATTTAAAATAAGTAAGAAACAAATCAGATCTTGATAGTAAATAATCATGCTGTCTAACGTAAAGGACTTTAAATATGAAATTATTACATACTGTTCAATAAATGATAAGTGTTTTTAATTAAGAGTAATTTTCATTTAAATGTGCTTTACTGGAGGCATCCATGTTTGTCAAAGAACACTACTGCCACCTACTGGTTTGTGACATCACGGTGCGGTATCGGCTGTTGATCAAGTCACAGTGCTGTATCTGGTGTTTGTCACAACGCGCTATTATCCAAGTCATCTTGAAAACATTCTTCTTCCAAATGTTGGCTACATATCACGTGTTTTTTCTCTGACCAAAATTTCAATGCTAAATCCTCCCTCTTCAAGTTCGCAATCCAATGACCAACCCGTCCGTGGAGGATCAGGAATCAGAAAGGTGGAAAAACTTTTTTTTTTCACTTTTACCCGATGCATTCCAACATCCAGCTGACATGCGCGTGGGCATTGTCAGTTTCACTATAGCTCTGGTGAATTTCAATGGTGAAGTCCTCTGGAAATCTTTAATAATTGTTGTTGATTGCAGATGTGTCTAGTAGTTCCCATTGATTTAGCTTGTAAAGCGGGGAGAATGGCGCTAGGCTTACCGCACCGTGACGTCACTGCTGGAAGATGGCAGGAGGGAGGGGTTACTATACTTGGGCAAAAATGGCCGCTCCCAGACTCAGTGATCGCAACAAAAATAATTATTTTTATTTATTTTACTTATTAAAGCTAAATTCATTAAATCACCGCAAACATATTAGTTATAGGTATAGATAATGATCCATTGATTATTATTTGCTGACCAGACTTTTCCTTTAAAGGTATACTGGATAATATGTTTTTTGGCTTGCAGGAGGGATCAACTTATTTATGGGACTTCCAACATGCCAATCTTGGCACATCCAATAGCAAAGTTTTAGCTGTTGCTGTGCAAGCACGCTTCTAGTGTTTCTGTATCTGGTTAGTTTTGGGTTCAGTCATTTAGTTTAGCTCTACTTTAAAAGTTGTTGAGAGTCACAATAAGCAAACTGTCCTTTATGATGTCTTTGTCGCATTTAAGTTTCTTCTAGGGGTGGAACAGTTCAAAATCCACGGTTCGGTTCACAGTTTCGTGGTCACGGTTTTCAGTTCGGTATATGTTGATTGTTAGCCTGACATGTTGGTCGTGTTGCTGTTAGCATAAACAAAACGTGTTGCACAATGCTTGCACACTGTTTTTATCCACAACTTTCTTTCCGCCTTCATCGTAGGTCACTCTAAATGCAAAGTGGTCCCATACAGCAGACCTATAAAGTGCTGCTGGCGCGTCTTCCAACTCCTGTTCTTTCCCACTCGCCATACCCACACAATTCTCCACAACAACTGATTTTTTTCTGCTACACCCGGCTACGCTGCTTCGCTTCTTCTTCTTGTTTACTACTGGTGGTTGGCTTTGGTCGCAGTACCGCCACCTTCTGCTCTGGAGTGTAAACGCTTCGCCTATGAGAAAAAGGAGCAGCGCATGAACCGAACGCAACACACGCGAACCGAACCGAGACAGTCGAACTGAACGGTCCGGACGGTTTTCATAAACCGTTCCATCCCTAGTTTCTTCATGTGAAAAATCAACAATTAAGGTGTATAATTAATTAAGAAACTCCACTTTATAGTTTTGGTTTTCCTGGTGTCATTGCTGGAAGGATGCTAACATTAGCCTGCCTTGCTATCACCACTCCAGTCTCTATCCCACCATATGGGCGATTCCACCAATCACCTGCAGGCAGTAGGTACTTAGACTAAGACAAACTTTATTGTCATTATGTTTACACAGGGTGCACACAAAACAAAATTTTGTAAAGTACAGTTCTCAAGACATTATGTTTACATCTTATGTTTACATCAAATGTAAACATAAGACTGATATAAAGGGGAGGAAAGTGTTTCTGTTTGTGTAATTTTTCACCTGTTGTGTAAAAGATCAGAAAAACATGGTAAATTAAAACCATGGCTAGTGGCTAATGTTGCTAAAGCTGCATCCAGATTAAGTAAATTTTTGATACCGTTACTCATAAAGAAAAAAGAGGCATGGAAAATGGTTCTGAAAAAGCTTTTTTTTTTTCTTGTAAAAATATTTGATCATGAATTTTAACAAGTTATGACTCTTTTAATCCGAGTGTTAAGCTAAATGGATATTTTATTAAAGCTCTATTTGCAACTCATCAAAACCACTCTTATCAGGTGAGAGCTGATAAAAATGATGGAAATAAAAGAATGCTTCATCTGAAAATGTTGACTTAATTGGCAGCTACGACTTAAAATCATGTGGGTGATTCTTATGTTTTTTTGTTTTTTTTGTATAAGGGTGAAACTTTTATTAAAATTAAAATGAAAACGTACTGCCTCTTATTTAGCAACTCCTCTTGAATCCTTGCAAAGCAAATAAACCAGAGTCAACATTTTGGTCCTATGATAAAAGCCAATGGGATGCTGCAAGCAACAGGCAAACATAAAACAAAGAAGTTTATGTTTGATGCAGTTTGGCACTGTAGCTTTTGTGTCTTTTAAACCAAAATTACATGTGTGTGCATATGTGTGTGCGTGTGGCGGCTACATTTTACGCTAAATTACTTTCAAGCCACCCGGATCTTCGACGCCAACCGAGCCGCTTAGTTACAAAACTTCAGGCAGTGCATTTAGGGACACGTACACTTCAAAGGTACGAAACTCTTACCTGGAGAATGATTTAACAGTTGGCTTGAAAGCAATGTACCCCTTCATTAAAAAGCAGAGCCAAAAGTCCTTTAGACACTGCAGCACTTCAAAACTAAGGGGAGGGCTTTCCATTAACTCAATAGGAAAAGGACTGCGGGTCTGAATGGTGGATGTCTGCATGTTATTTTGTTCCTCTGTGTCTTTGCAGCGAAAAAATGGCCACGGATCCATTAGCTTGATTTGTCACAGCGGGCGCACCCCAAAGATCGCTTATCTGCTGAACGTACCTCTCGAGTGGCGAGTCTGTCGCTCATCTCCTCCGCCTTTGCAATGTCCCCTTCAGCGATGGCCTCCTCCATGCTCTTTTCTAGGCCGGACTGAGGAAGAGATGGGGGGGAGAAGAAATTCAGATTTTTTTCCCCCCTTTTTATTTGAAATACGGGTATAGAGAGAGAAAAAAAAGAAATCAAAGTAACTTGAAAACTCCCCAGGGCCTTATTTTTAATATGATCGCCATTACTACAAATATGTAGATTTCGCTTCACAAATGAAAACCGCTTTGATTGGATATTAGTGAGGAAATCTTAGAAATGCTACAGGAGATTACCAAACATAAATGTGATTCTTTAATTACATATTTCCATTACAGAGCCGAGAGGAGGAGGGGTGGGGGGTGCTGACAAGCCCCCGGTTACTGATGGAAAGCCATCTCTGCTGCAAGGAGCGCAAATTTTCATCACAGTAAGTAAAAAAACACCAGAACGCGGTTGTAAATATTCATACTCCCACACTAAAGTAGCTCAAAAAACAGACATTAGTGCACTTGCTCTAATTTTCTCATGTAAACTAGCTCGAAAACTACTTTTTTTTTTTTTCTCAAAACATGTTTGAGAGCTTAGCTGTTGGATGAATCTGGACAACTGTATAGGGGCGTGGAAAAATGTCTACAGAGAACAAAGGGACCATTTGAGACATTTTGTTGCCGTTTTACATTTTCAATAACTCCTATTCACACTCTTTCTGTCTCTCCATTTTTTATCATGTTTAAAAAAGCGAACCTAAATGCTCTTCATGTGAAAGACCAACACAAAGGTGTTAAGAAAGAACATCCTGAGCTATCTCTATAGTTATGCTGCTATAGGTTTAGACTGCTGGAGGACAAAGGGACCTTTATTCTCTCTCTATTCTCCTATTCTGCCGAATCTGTTAGTTCAATCTCTAACGTTCTGCTCTCTCTGCTTTTCCTCAGAGTAGCTTTGCCTCTTCTGTTCCTGTTTGGCTGTGACGCCATCCTGGAGAGAAACATCAGCTCTGCTGCTTCCATCCACACCTTTGTTTATAGATGCTGGAGATCGGCCTGTTTTCCAGTGCGGTCCTGTTTCTCTGACCGTGACTGACTGGATGTGCTCTCTTTATCCTCTGGCATGGGAGCTGGCTCGGCGCTCGTCTGCCTGGCTGTGTGTTTCCTGGACGGGGCCGCCTTTTGCAGCTGCTTTTTGTATCTCTGCTTCTGTGTCCTTGAACCCCAGTCGGCCTCGGCAGATGGCCGCTCACACTGAGCCTGGTTCTGCTGGAGGTTTCTTCCTGTTGAAAGGGAGTTTTTTCCTCTCCACTGTCGCTACAAGCATGCTTAAAGGAATAGTACACCCAAAAAGAAGATTAGCCTTCATTTTCTACTCACCCCCATGCTGAACAACACTCTGGAGTACTTTTTTGATATCTCAAATGCATCTGGAGATCTGGGAGGCTTCTTGCTGTCTGCTGACATTCAAATAATGGAGGTCTATGGCACCCGAGGCAGAAAGGTCCATAAAAGTCCACAAAAAACGTGTCAATATTCCTCCATACTGCTCGTCCAATGTATTCCAAGTGTCCTGAGTGGGCAGCGTCCATAATTTACTCGAAACGAAGTCATTTAGAATGTTTTTAGAGCATAAACAGTAGTGTATAGGATTTCCTGAAAGCGCGCACATGCGCGTTCACGACGCTACGGAAGCCGGCAGACCAAACCAGATGAAAGTGCGCATTCAGCGTCTGCTCTGCCAATAATGCAAGCGTAGAAGAAGAAATGTGCTGTTTACCTGTGCAAAGAAAGAAACAACGAAAGAAAAATGTCTGACGTTTGGTCTGCCGGCTTCCGTAGCGTCATGAACGCGCATGTGCGCGCTTTCAGGAAATCCTATACACTACTGTTTATGCTCTAAAAACATTCTAAATGACTTCGTTTCGAGTAAATTCTGGATGCTACCCACTCAGGACACTTGGAATACATTGGACGAGCCATATGGAGGAATATTGACACGTTTTTTGTGGACTTTTATGGACCTTTCTGCCTCGGGCGCCATAGACCTCCATTATTTGAATGTCAGCAGACAGCAAGAAGCCTCCCAGATCTCCAGATGCATTTGAGATATCAAAAAAGTACTCCAGAGTGTTGTTCAGCATGGGGGTGAGTAGAAAATGAAGGCTAATCATGTTTTGGGTGTACTATTCCTTTAATGTGAGGGATTGTATTTGAGTCAATGAGTTGATGCAATCAACTGGTTTTCCTTAGATAGAAACCTTGAATCAATATGACTGTATGATCTGGTGGAACTGTAAAGTGCCTTGAGATGACATGTGTTGTGAATTTGGCGCTATAGAAATAAACTGAATTGAATTGAATCTGTAAACATCAACATTCAAATCTGGAGCACAGATGTCGTTCTGGGTTTTGACTAGGCCATTCTATCTGCCCTAAGTGTTTAGGATTATTGTCTTGCTGGAAGGTCCATCTCTGTCTTAAATCTGGTTTATGCTTGACGTGTCAAATTACGTCATTTTAGCTCCTATGCATAGAAAAACATGGTGGTCTATGTTAGGATAATTATCATTGATGATGTGTGAGTTTATTACACCTTGGTATAATAAACTCACCTGCCTATTGCGTGTCAGAACTGATGTTTTCCACAATAGTTTATCTGATTAAGACGGTTACTCTGTCTGGATATACAGTTATAATCTTTATTCTGTACGTGGCAAATATTTGAGAATGGAATGAGAGCGATGTCCTTCAGCTAAGAACAAAGAGTAATATTTTGATAAGGCTGGAGACATGGATGTCTACTCATCTGCTAACATGTATGATGTAAAATGTGATGATGTGGCAGACTGGACATGTATAAAATGCCTTTTTAAAGGAATAGTACACCCAAAACATGATTAGCCTTCATTTTCTACTCACCCCCATGCTGAACAACACTCTGGAGTACTTTTTTGATATCTCAAATGCATCTGGAGATCTGGGAGGCTTCTTGCTGTCTGCTGGCATTCAAATAATGGAGGTCTATGGCGCCCGAGGCAGAAAGGTCCATAAAAGTCCACAAAAAACGTGTCAATATTCCTCCATACTGCTCGTCCAATGTATTCCAAGTGTCCTGAGTGGGTAGCATCCATAATTTACTCAAAACGAAGTCATTTAGAATGTTTTTAGAGCATAAACAGTAGTGTATAGGATTTCCTAAAAGCGCGTTCACGAGTCTATGGAAACCGCGGCAGACCAAACCAGATGAAAGTGCGCATTCAGCTCGGCAAAGAACTCATGCTCTTCCTCAACACTGAAGTCCTCAGACATTTTTCTTTCGTTGTTTCTTTCTTTGCACAGGTAAACAGCACATTTCTTCTTCTACGCTTGCATTATTGGCAGAGCAGACGCTGAATGCGCACTTTCATCTGGTTTGGTCCGTCGGCTTCCGTAGCGTCATGAACGCGCATGTGCGCGCTTTCAGGAAATCCTATACACTACTGTTTATGCTCTAAAAACATTCTAAATGACTTCGTTTCGAGTAAATTCTGGATGCTACCCACTCAGGACACTTGGAATACATTGGACGAGCAGTATGGAGGAATATTGACACGTTTTTTGTGGACTTTTATGGACCTTTCTGCCTCGGGCGCCATAGACCTCCATTATTTGAATGTCAGCAGACAGCAAGAAGCCTCCCAGATCTCCAGATGCATTTGAGATATCAAAAAAGTACTCCAGAGTGTTGTTCAGCATGGGGGTGAGTAGAAAATGAAGGCTAATCATGTTTTGGGTGTACTATTCCTTTAATGTGAGGGATTGTATTTGAGTCAATGAGTCGATGCAATCAACTGGTTTTCCTTAGATAGAAACCTTGAATCAATATGACTGTATGATCTGGTGGAACTGTAAAGTGCCTTGAGATGACATGTGTTGTGAATTTGGCGCTATAGAAATAAACTGAATTGAATTGAATCTGTAAACATCAACATTCAAATCTGGAGCACAGATGTCGTTCTGGGTTTTGACTAGGCCATTCTATCTGCCCTAAGTGTTTAGGATTATTGTCTTGCTGGAAGGTCCATCTCTGTCTTAAATCTGGTTTATGCTTGACGTGTCAAATTACGTCATTTTAGCTCCTATGCATAGAAAAACATGGTGGTCTATGTTAGGATAATTATCATTGATGATGTGTGAGTTTATTACACCTTGGTATAATAAACTCACCTGCCTATTGCGTGTCAGAACTGATGTTTTCCACAATAGTTTATCTGATTAAGACGGTTACTCTGTCTGGATATACAGTTATAATCTTTATTCTGTACGTGGCAAATATTTGAGAATGGAATGAGAGCGATGTCCTTCAGCTAAGAACAAAGAGTAATATTTTGATAAGGCTGGAGACATGGATGTCTACTCATCTGCTAACATGTATGATGTAAAATGTGATGATGTGACAGACTGGACATGTATAAAATGCCTTTTTAAAGGAATAGTACACCCAAAACATGATTAGCCTTCATTTTCTACTCACCCCCATGCTGAACAACACTCTGGAGTACTTTTTTGATATCTCAAATGCATCTGGAGAACTGGGAGGCTTCTTGCTGTCTGCTGACATTCAAATAATGGAGGTCTATGGCGCCCGAGGCAGAAAGGTCCATAAAAGTCCACAAAAAACGTGTCAATATTCCTCCATACTGCTCGTCCAATGTATTCCAAGTGTCCTGAGTGGGTAGCGTCCAGAATTTACTCGAAACGAAGTAATTTAGATTGTTTTTAGAGCATAAACAGTAGTGTATAGGATTTCCTAAAAGCGTGTTCACGAGTCTACGGAAACCGCGGCAGACCAAACCAGACGAAAGTGCGCATTCAGCTCGGCAAAGAACTCATGCTCTTCCTCAACACTGAAATCCTCAGACATTTTTCTTTCGTTGTTTCTTTCTTTGCGCAGGTAAACAGCATATTTCTTCTTCTACGCTTGCATTATCGGCAGAGCAGACGCTGAATGCGCACTTTCATCTGGTTTGGTCTGCCGCGGTTTCCGTAGACTCGTGAACGCGCATTTAGGAAATCCTATACACTACTGTTTATGCTCTAAAAACATTCTAAATGACTTCGTTTCGAGTAAATTATGGACGCTGCCCACTCAGGACACTTGGAATACATTGGACGAGCAGTATGGAGGAATATTGACACGTTTTTTGTGGACTTTTATGGACCTTTCTGCCTCGGGCGCCATAGACCTCCATTATTTGAATGTCAGCAGACAGCAAGAAGCCTCCCAGATCTCCAGATGCATTTGAGATATCAAAAAAGTACTCCAGAGTGTTGTTCAGCATGGGGGTGAGTAGAAAATGAAGGCTAATCATGTTTTGGGTGTACTATTCCTTTAACTGTCAATCGGGGCCACTTCCTGAGAGGTCAGCAGCTGCCGTCTGTAAACCCTCAGCAACGTCTCTGATCGGAGTAAGAATACAATTTCTATCAAAATATGTTGTCATGTCTCCTTGGAAATTAAGACTTTTTAAGGACCTGCGGGAACGCTGTGTAAACAAGTACAAAGATTAAATGTTTTTAAAGCTCTGTATCATGTTTATCTATGTCCTTCATAAACATTTATTTGTTCTATACCTGCCTTTTTTCTACGTGTTTCAAATACTTCCTTTCAATCCAATTGTTAGATAAATTGGGTATAAATTTCTCCAAAACTTAACTAAGCGTTCTCAAAGGTCTAGGTTGGCAAAAAAAACTCCATTCAGTTAAGGAGAAAGTTAAAAAACGTAACTTTTATAATTGAGTTATGAATTTCTCCAAACTAATATGTATCTGTGAGAAAAGAGGTGTTTAAATATTTTAGTTTCAGTCACAGACGTATCGTGAGGTACTCTGACACGGCCTTCCTTTGTCTGGTAACATTTAGACTTCTTCTCTAGAGGAGAAAAAAAAAATCACACACTTTCATCTCAAGCACAACAGAAAGGCTAATCTTATCACTAAACGTCACAGAACATAATCCCTAATATTCTTCTCTCTGTCAGGTTGAATCATTACAAAGGTTTCCAAGGATCCACATGTCAAATCGCATAAGACAATCAGAAGACACAGCGGCACAGACACAAAGGATATAAAGGTGTTACTAACAGCTGCTATAGAGGCAGAATTAAAGCTGAGAGGACAAGTCGGAAGGCAGGCTTTGTTACCTTCGGAGGCGGCTTAGAGCAAGCAGGGGGTTGAAATCGATCGTTCACACCAAAGTACTGCTTCAGCTCCTTCCAGTGCTTCTCCCGGTCATCCTGTCGCTCCCTGAAAACAACACAAATTCTGTTAACATCAAACATATGTAGACAAACAATAATCTTAAAGAAATGCAGGGAGCAGAACTAAACTACAGTTTAACAAGTTTTGATTTGCTGAAATAAACTCAAATGTTTTGCACGTAATAGATGGCATCAGAAATCAAAACGTATTATTTTAACCAGAAAACTAAACAGATTGAATGGAGGACGTGTTGAAGTTTTAATTTCATTAACTGTCTCTTAACGCTACAGAATAATTATCATCAAGGATACACTGGAAATCTAGATAAGTCATTTTTTCTTAAAATAAGTGCATTTTTTCTTTGATTGAGGAGGTAACAGAGACATTTTACCAATGGAACAAGACAATTTACACTAAAAATAAGAAAACTTAACTGTATTGTCTTATTTCTAGTGGATATTATCTAATTATCTTATTTTAAGAGTAAAAACTCTCATTCAATTGGCAAACTATCTTATTTACCTACTCAAATTAAGGGTAAATACTAGGGATGTACGATATTGGGATTTTGGCCGATATCCGATATGCCGATATTTTAAAACTCATGTAGCCGATAACCGATATCGATACCGATGTTAAAGCTGGACAAAAATAAGTAGTCATTGAAAATAGCAGTTTTGTTATCCATTTCTGACACTTTGAAAAATAATATACTCAAATATATTTTCATATGCTGATATCAAATAGATTTTTAAAAACGCGGTATCGATCTATTTTACTTTCAAAATCTGGTGAAATTTCATCGTTCTGTTACAAACTCTCGTGATATTTTGCAAATTCTTGTGAGATTTTGTTAGTTATGGCAAAATTTCGTGAATTTTTGGGGGATTTCGTAGCATAACGATGACATATAGCAATATTTCATTAGTAAAAGAGATTGATATGGTGTTTTTAAATGGCAATATATCAGCATATGAAGATATTGTGATATTTTAATGTATCCATATTTTTTCCCTCGTCTTTAGAAGTTTTTAAGTCTGTAAAAAAGAAGTTTTTTAGGAAGAAGAAGAAGTAGTATTTTTTTTTTTTTTTAGACTTTAGAAACTCAGAAGCTGATCAAATATCGGGTTAAATATCGGTGGGGTGGCCGATGTCCGATATTTAGTTTTAAGGCCGATACAGGCCGATACCGATAGGGGGCCGATTATATCGTGCATCCCTAAAAAAACCCATCATATAGGTTCTTTCACTATGACTTATTTTCATGTCAGTCAATGCACATGGTCTGCTAGTTAATTAGCAAATAGGTGAGTTAAGGATGTGACTTAATTGAGAATCAACATTAAAAGACCATTTTTCAGATATTTACATGTCATGGAAAAAAGAAAACAGTTAAAAAGCTAAAAAAAAAACAATCAATAGGTCATTTTCACCATTTATTTATCCAGACTTTGAGAAATTATCAATTTAAATTCTATATTTCTTGAAAAATTCTAATACTGGACAGATGTTTGGTACAGAAAGACTCTAGATAGTTGAGTTGATAAGAATTAATAGCTGTGAGTTTCTGTAAAGGTTTAAACGTTCACCTCAAAGCCCTTCACAATTTACATGAAGAAAATAAAATAAAAGAGAAATGTTTATTGGTTTGATTGTTATTCTTGTGAATCAGGGCTTCAAACATTTCTATCTTAAATAATGTTTAATCAACAATGTATTATTAACACAATCGTTTAGATCTGTCATTATGGCAAACCGGATCAATTATTAGACTTTTTTAGCCTTTTTGTTTCACTCCTGCCCTTCAAAATGTCTGTGCACGCCACAGCACTGTTCACGTTGGATGATGATCCTTCACATCATTTTCAAACAACTGAAAAAAAAACTCTCCCAGAACTTGGATGATCTTTTAAGGGTCTCAGCCACACCTTCAGAAGAATGATGAATGCAGTAGGCTGCTTGTAGTGATAATAGTTAATGCTGGGCCTTAAATGTGCACTAACCCACCATTGAAGGGTTTCAGTGCTTATAGTTGTATTATTATGTGTGGGTGGCTGCATGATGTAGGCCTAAGCATTGCTAAATTGCTTATTTTAAAGTTGCACATCCAATATGGTGGCCACAGATGCAACCACAACATTAAAAAACCTAGCATTGTCACAATACACCCTGACCAGATTTCCTGTTAACTTTTATTGGGCAGCCTTATCTCGATGCAGTGTGTCACCCTACGTTGCAGCCACAGGTGAGAGGCAAAAATCAAACAAAAAAACAGATTACCGCCAAAACAGCACCTAAACTAAAGGGACTTATGGTGGTGGAGGGGTCATGCTCTGGGCTTAATTTTCTTCAGATATAACTGGAATTTTGTTGAAGCTCTAAATATCAGTAAGGATAGAACCAACAAGTTGAGGCGCCCACTACAAACTGTAATGTAGGGATGTATTTTTATAACATTAGAATGTGGACACATTAACCAAAGAAAGACTTAAGAAGACAAAAGTTACAGTTTAGGATTGGCCTAGTCATGCTTGGACAATTTTACAAGAAACAGAAGCCAAAAATTACAATTTCACGATGTAGGATGCTGACAGGTGCTTCAACAAAGCATCACATACTCTCACAGATTGAACTGCTTTTCAGTTGAATTTAACAGGTTTACATTTTGATTTTTGTCTTTATGTCCAGAGGTGTTAAGTAACAAAGTACATTAACAAATACTTTCTTACTGTAACTTAAGTACACTTTTTAGGTATCTCTACTTTACTCCATTACTTATTTTTCCTCCTACTTCTGACTTCTACTTATTACATTTTCACACCAGTATCTGTACTTTCTATTCCTTTAATTTTTAAAACAATTGTTACTCGTTACTCTTGGCTTCGGTTTAATGTTTATAAATATTTATTTCACATAATATGCTCCATCCAATGCAGATCATTGGCTTCCTCCACATTTAGTGAAAACTACTAGGGATGCACGATATAATAATCGGCCCCCTATCGGTATCGGCCTGTATCAGCCTTAAAAATGAACATCGGACATCGGCCACCCCACCGATATTTAACCCGATATTTGATCAGCTTCTGAGTTTCTAAAGTCTAAAAAAAAAAAACTACTTCTTCTTCTTCCTCAAAAACTTCTTTTTTACAGACTTAGTAGAGACAGAGAGACAGAGTGTTTGAGTCTTGGGTGCAGCTGTCTCTCCTCCTGCAGGAGCTGTTGTTTGAAAATCCCTTACTGTGTATTTAATTTCTTCTTTTACAAACCTACATTTTTGAACCCAACACTTACTACGAGGTTTTAATGATATAAATAATACCATTTTATGTAACTGGTGTCCTGCAGAAGCTAATGTTTATGTCCTCCAAGAGTATTAATGTTAATGTGCCACAAAGATACCTGAGAAGGACTGAAGAAGTAATGTTTTTTTTTTTCATTGTCATTTTTTATCTCTACCACAATGATATTGTGATAAAATTTTCCGAGTACATCGTCCAGTCCTAGTCTTGAATGAAATAAAAAGTGCTGAAGGTTAAAGTTAGATTCTGAGTCTGGAAAAGTGTGAAATTTTTGGAAACAGAGAATTTCAAGTGAGCTGCGCTGCTTTACTCCTTGTAAGTTCTCGTAACACTGGAAAAACGATCTAGAAATAAGTAAAATATTCTTAAATTAAGTGTATTTACTAGGGATGCACGATATAATCGGCCCCCTATCGGTATCGGCCTGTATCGGCCTTAAAACTAAATATCGGCCACCCCACCGATATTTAACCCGATATTTGATCAGCTTCTGAGTTTCTAAAGTCTAAAAAAAAAAAATACTTCTTCTTCTTCCTCAAAAACTTCTTTTTTACAGACTTAAAAACTTCTAAAGACGAGGGAAAAAATATTGATACATTAAAATATCACAATATCTTCATATGCTGATATATTGCCATCTAAAAACACCATATCAATCTCTTTTACTAATGAAATATTGCTATATGTCATCGTTATGCTACGAAATCCCCCGAAAATTCACGAAATTTTGCCATATTTTTATATGTTGATATATTGACGCGGTATCGATCTATTTTACTAACAAAATCTCACAAGAATTTGCAAAATATCACGAGAGTTTGTAACAGAACGATGAGATTTCGAAATTAATAGATCGATACCGCGTTTTTAAAAATCTATTTGATATCAGCATATGAAAATATATTTGAGTATATTATTTTTCAAAGTGTCAGAAATGGATAACAAAACTGCTATTTTCAATGACTACTTATTTTTGTCCAGCTTTAACATCGGTATCGATATCGGTTATCGGCTACATGAGTTTTAAAATATCGGCATATTGGATATCGGCCAAAATCCCAATATCGTGCATCCCTAAAAACTAGTGTAATTGGATGAGTCATAGAACGCAAACACTCATTGGTTAGCTAAAGGAAATCATTAGAAGCAAGCAGGTGTTCTTCAAACTGCAAACATGAATTGTCTATGCCATGCTACAATGTGGGATTCAGAAAAAGATGTTGAAATGTCTGAAAGGTCGGACACAGGCGAGAGCGTATCGGGAGACGGAGACCAACAAGACCTCCCTCATCCTTGGCCCTATCTCTAAGAATTTTTCGAAATAGTCGAAAAATTCAGCTTTTAATTCATATAGTGGCATCTGGCTGTTTTTTTTTTTTTTTTTTTAAGGTTACTTTATACTTTTATACTTTAAGTAGTTTTTGGAGCACATACTTTTTCACTTTTACTTGAGTAAAGATGATACTTCAACTTTTAAATTGCAGTATCTATACTTCTACTTAAGTAAAACATGTGTGTACTTTAGACACCACCATTTATGACACTTAACCAGACATTTCACAGCTAATGTTAGAACATTTAATATTGTCTGTATATCTGAGGAACAAAACATTGAAATAATTGCAGGGTTATTAATAAAATGTCTTGTTTGTAGCTCAAAATGTGTCATTTATTTGGGTGCAATAATGTTTTTACCTGTCCTCTGCAGGTTCCTCACATTTTCTCCCTGTTAATTCCAAATTGAACAGATAATAAATGATTAAACAATTGATTAATTCATTTTAAATTGGCTGAAATATTCCTATAATTTATTTACCTTTTCTGCGTCTTCTTTTTCTTTTTTCGTGGATCTTTATTGTCTTGATTTCATGTTTCTTCTTCCGGAGCTCCTGAAATTTCTTCAGCACACAAAACAAAAACATAATTTTATAGAATTACATCTATAACCTTATCCTGGTCTGCAAATGCAGGGCTATAGATTCAGTTTAACTCTCTCTCATTGACCGAACAGCAGCTTTAATATCAGCAGCTCTTTAGATTCACGTACTTCCAACATTTCCCGGGATATTCCAGGCAAACTGTCTGTCTGGGAATCGTTCCCGGTCTGACTGGCTTCTCCATCAGCCACCGAAGCTCTTACATCTCCAGCAGATAAATTATCCTCCACATTTTCTGATTCATCGCCTTCTTCCTCCTCTGAACTGAGGTCTTCTTCCGTCAAATCTCTAGGCAGCCGTCCGCTGTACATGTTGACTCATTATTTGACCAAAAAAATGAACATATTTTTTATTTAACTCTGGAAAAAACTGCTACAAATCCTTAAAATTAACAGCTAAACGCAAGCTGTCCTTTTTCCGGGTAAACAAGGTGACGTCAGCGATGCGCACGCGTTTATTGGCTGAGAGCAGAAACAGGGTGCACGAGGATGAAACAGAAGCTGCTATTGGTTGCTTTAGTAAAACGAAACCAGCCTTTTTTCCATTATGTACTTTGTTTAAAATATATATTAAAAAATGCTAATTTACTTTTCAAACTGGGACAAAAAATTGTATTATAGATCTTTTGCTTTAGTTTTATTTTAGTTTTAGTTACTTTAGTTTTTATCAAACTGAATTAAAGAGTAATTCTCTGGATAGATAGATAGATAGATAGATAGATAGATAGATAGATAGATAGATAGATAGATAGATAGATAGATAGATAGATAGATAGATAGATAGATAGATAGATAGATAGATAGATAGATAGATAGATAGATAGATAGATAGATAGATAGATAGATAGATAGATAGATAGATAGATAGATAGATAGATAGATAGATAGATAGATAGATAGATAGATAGATAACTTTATATACAGCAACTGACTAACTTTTTTATATCAAGCAAAAAAAAAGACATTTTAGAATAAAGACATACTAAATCCATAAACACATTTCTGGTGTTTTTTGTGCAGAATAGTCAAAGTTCTGCTATCAAATTAATGATCAACATTAAAGGAATAGTACACCCAAAACATGATTAGCCTTCATTTTCTACTCACCCCCATGCTGAACAAAACTCTGGAGTACTTTTTTGATATCTCAAATGCATCTGGAGATCTGGGAGGCTTCTTGCTGTCTGCTGACATTCAAATAATGGAGGTGCCCAGCGCCCGAGGCAGAAAGGTCCATAAAAGTCCACAAAAAACGTTAATTTACTCAAAACGAAGTAATTTAGAATGTTTTTACAGCATAAACAGTAGTGTATAGGATTTCCTAAAAGCGCGCACATGCGCGATCCCGACGCTACGGAAGCCGGCAGACCAAACCAGCGCATTCAGCTCGGCAAAGAACTCATGCTCTTCCTCAACACTGAAGTCCTCAGACATTTTTCTTTCGTTGTTTCTTTCTTTGCACAGGTAAAAAGCACATTTCTTCTTCTACGCTTGCATTATTGGAAGAGCAGACGCTGAATGCGCACTTTCATCTGGTTTGGTCTGCCGGCTTCCGTAGCGTCGTGATCGCGCATGTGCGCGCTTTCAGGAAATCCTATACACTACTGTTTATGCTCTAAAAACATTCTAAATGACTTCTTTTCGAGTAAACTCTGGATCCTACCAACTCAGGACACTTGGAATACATTGGACGAGCAGTATGGAGGAATATTGACACGTTTTTTGTGGACTTTTATGGACCTTTCTGTCTCGGACGCCATAGACCTCCATTATTTGAATGTCAGCAGACAGCAAGAAGCCTCCCAGATCTCCAGATGCATTTGAGATATCAAAAAAGTACTCCAGAGTGTTGTTCAGCATGGGGGTGAGTAGAAAATGAAGGCTAATCATGTTTTGGGTGTACTATTCCTTTAACTTACTTTTAAACAGCTCCAATCAGCATACAGTGGGAACATCAGGACGACCCGCTAATTTAGGTGATTCCATTGAGCACAAGGTACGGACGTCAACACATCACGCCAGTCACTTCTGATCTTCTGTAACAAGCCAAAACAACTCTGCTTTCATTAGATAAACATTCGGCAGCTCTGATATGAGAGATTCTAGGGGACAAAACAATAAAGAAGCTTGACTACGCCCTGGCTCATTTTCATCTTACTCTCCATTGTTTACTTTCCTGATTGCAGTCGCACTGGTGACATCATCAGCGCTAACCCAGCATAATGGCATCACCAGACACACAGCAGTGGTGGGACAGAGGCTTTGCATCTTACCTGCCGGGGGTTACCTTTTTGTGAATAGGAGAGAAGCCAAAAGCTGATTGTTCGCAGGTTAACCCATGTTTGAAAAGAAAAACATGTCAACCCCGCTAAGAGGCTGAAGAGTATTTTCAAATTTATGCACATTTTCTGTACTTGTAAGTTGGATCAGTATAGCAGCCTTTTTTCCATCAGGACTTCATCAGTGTAGAAACCATATGAAGGAAAATGTCAGTATTTTTGAATCATCACCTTTACATAAATACACAGCCACCATAAACCTGTGCTGCTCACAGACATACCTCATTGGGTTTATGAAATTGGCCTTAATATAAAAAGTGTCAAAACCTCCAATTATAAATGTGAAAACACCCACAGAGAGTTACAGCAGTACTTCTAAAAACTTGTCTTGACTTGAATATGCTGGAGTGAAAACCACTTCTAATTGAGGTGAGCTAGGCGACTAACAGTTTGGTGAATTACCAGGAGTCATTCAGATGTTAACCTATATTTGTGTCATGTTCTGGCTCAGATAAGCTTCCTTCTATGACCAGTGGTTCACGATTTGCTTAAAGTGCTGCGGGCATGACATTATTATTAGAATGATTAGCATGCAAATCTTGTATAGCCCCTGGCACTGGCGCAGGCATCTACCCTTAAATTGGTCTTTCACATTCATTCACTTTAGGCTCCCTTTTAGTTGCATCTTAATGCTGGGCCCATAATATACATAAATTATAGCCTGTATTTTGTGTGCCATATAAATGCAGAATAAAGAGTAAAAGACCCATAACTTTGGATTAAACATAAAAAGGTAGATTCCAGCTATACTATGTTTGCAATAGTGGTTTTATTTTTTATTTTATCTTTGTCCAACATTGCTTTTTAGTTTATAGGAATTAAAAATGCTTGTGATTCTTCAATATTTTTTCCGCAATAATTCTCCTCTTGCTTATTTGTGTCAAGTTATTGAGTATTATAAGACACTATTTTGATCTTATGGAAAATGTTATTGCCTACACCGTCTAATAATACTGTTTTAAGGCAATATAGATATTTAACAATTAGATCAAATTAAAAAGGTAAAAAAAAGTGATGAAATATTTGTGAAGCATAAATAATTATTAAGTGGTCATTTTTGCCTGTTTGCTTATAGATTTAGACTTCTTTATTTGTCATTTTGTATGCACAGAGTGCATACAGAACGAAATTGTGTTGCATACAGCTTATGAACATTGCATTGATATTTCAAATGAGATGGAATACACATCCGGATTGTTACACACGAGTTATACAAAAAGTGCAGCAGTGGTCAAAGTGTAAACAGTGCAGTGGATAAAAACAGTGTGCAAATTGCAATGGTTCAGTGCAAATAGGCATTTGTGCAAAAATGCGTTATTTCCTTCGGTTGAGAAAATAGAAATGAGATGAACTGAAAAAGCTAAAAGTTAAACGTTCAGCAGCATTTGATGCCCGATAATGTGCAATAGGTGCAGAGTTCGGTTTGTGGATCAAAGGTTCAACAGTCTGATGGCAGTGGGGAAGAAGCTGTTGCAGAACCTGGTGGATCTGCAGCGGATGCTGCGGAACCTCTTTCCAGAGGGCAGCAGGGACAACAGTCCATGGTGGGGGTGTGAGGGTTCTTTGATGATATTACGGGCTCGGGACACACAGCGCTGTGATGAAATGTCCTTAATGGAGGGAAGAGGAGCCCCAATGATTCCTTCTGCTGTCCTCACCCTCCTCACGTTCTTCCAGTCGGTGTTATTAGTCCTGTTTGCATAACAGAAACATAATTTCAAAATAAAATTTTCTGACAAAGTAGGGATCTTTAAATTAAAAGTGTGCTATTATATATAGATAGTTTAGAATGTAGAATGGATGACAAGACACAACCAAAGGCTTTTGCTAATCGCATATGGAAGGGCTGAGTGGGCACTCTGCCTTATCCTATCCTATCCTATCCTATCCTATTCTATTCTACTCTATTCTATTCTATTCTATTCCAATCGGACATGTCTTTTCTCTTTGTCTAAACCCAATGAATGAAATGAACCCAATGATGGAAAAAAATATTATTGACAGATCTGATCAAATCTGAGTGGAATGATAGATGATGGCCTCAGAGAGATGCTCTTCATGTCCTGTGTTGTGTGCATTACCCTATTACTATAAAAAAAAAAAAAAATGATTTATGCCGGTCAAACTAAGATTGATTTCCGTAAGACTATGTAAAGAAACTGAGAAGCTGACCTGTATCTGCTTTAAAACAACATTGCTGCTGAAAACAGGAGCTAAATTCTAACATGTCCCTGAATGCATCCAGAACTTTGCCTTTTTTTAACAGTATTTGTCAGAAATTGTCTTTTTTTTATACGGTTACCACCAAGATCATTTAAAAACTAGGTAGATGCCATCAGATATTTCTCCTTTTTCCCTCCCCTACATCAACAAATCACCATTAAGACAAACATTTGCCACGGAAACTTTAAATTCTGCTATTATTTCTTTCTTCTCTGTCGGCTGCTGTTCCATTTTTTGTGCTCATGGTGCCTCATGCTCGTTGCAGAACTAGGGGAGATCGCACCTTTCAGGAGGTCACTCCGGCACTTTGGAATGATCATCCGCTTTACTTGATTCTGTTGATGTTTTTAAGAGCGAGCAGAAAACCTATTTGTTTAAGACATAAGACAAAATTTAATTCAAGTAGATTAAGAGTTGTTTATGAACATGTCTTTTGTGACTGTAAATGTATTTCTTTTTGCATTGTAATTTTGTGAGGCCCTGACAATGTCTGTGAAAGGAGCTATATAAACAAACATTGCTTACTTGTTAAATATAAGAGGTGCTAAACAATGATTGAATAAGGCTTTTCATATGTAACATCGTCACTGTTCGGCCATTTTGGCCATTTTTATCTTGTGCTTTCTGCTCCCTTCAGCTTAGCTTATTTGTTTTCCCACATTTCTTGGCCTCTGATATGGAAAGAAACAGAAGATATATATAAGATAAGATATAAGATAAAATCCTAAACATAGCAGTAAATAACAAGTACTAAAAATGAGGATGTATTCTCTTCACTGCAAAAGAAATAAAATCAAAATAGGTCATTTTTTCTTGAATTAAGGATTGAAGTGAGACACTTTGCCAATGGAACAAGATAATTTACACTTTAAACA